GATCTGGTGTTAGCCTAATGAGGTCTTTATATTTCTCTATTAGTTATTTCATACTGTTGATAATACAAATTCTTTAAGTATATTTAAAACCATTCTTGCAGAACTTTTATGGTATCATTCTTTCAAAATAATACAAATAAAGACACCTTGAACACCATTCTTGGTTCTCATTAATTCCTATTTGAAATCTTATTTGAATGCTAAACACATGGTAATTACTTCCTATTTTTGAATTGCCACTATTTTGTATAGGTAAACATATTCTTATATATCTTTTAGTTGCAAAACATCATACAGACTTCCTCTATACTTCTAATCACATGTAATCATATTCTTATATCCTTTTTAGCAAAATTTTGATATGTAATTTGGTAATAGTGAATTTTGGCTTTGGTCTTATCAACATGTAAAAAGAACACAAGATGGAGACTTGAATCAAATAAATGAAACGAGATTGGCTTGATGTATTATAAAAAACTTAATTTTTAGGAAAGAGGGAGTTCAAGAAGCTGATAAATCTGAAGATACATGATGTCTTCGATGAAAATACGAATCTACAAAGTTTGTCTCCAAAGTCAAAGTTAACAAAAACAATCTCTCCACATCGATTTTCTTTAGATTTGGTTGTTTCCATTGTATATGTATATTATTGCACTCTAGTATTCCAAAATCTTAATATTCCATAACATACAACTGAAAGTGTTGTTCATACAATTTAGGAACCCGAAGGTGTTTGTTGGGCTCAAGAATATTTACATCATATCATATACACATTATGTTAGAATTTTACATTGTAATTGTGCTTTTAGTTTAATGATTCTTTAAGAATGTTTTATGTTGGATGGTTTTGGTTGTTATTTGTGAATTTCTTATTAAGGATTAAACTCCAAGATATGACACATAATTGTTTTTTTTTTTCAGTATCTTGATTACAGCTTCAATTATATTTGATGACATATCATCAAACATTTATAATCTTTCCAATAGAAGTATTGAACAATTTCCTAGCCATTATTTATGTTTTATTCCAGAAATTTTGATAATCGTAGCTACAAGATATATCCACTTGTAGATTATGGGATACAAAATTCCATATTCTCTCTACTGCGATGAAATTCGAGGCATGAAACTTTGATAATTGGCACCGAAAGACACATGATTCATTCCTTAAGAATATTATGCAACAAGTATATTATTCTGTTAGAGTATTCAACAAAGAATGTTATATTCTGGTAGAATAATATACAAAAGAATGCTAAGATTTTCGCCAGTGAGTGCAGGTAAATCTAGGGTTTCAAATTTCATTCTTCTCACAACTTAGATCTGTTTACATCACTAATTCATACCATATTGTGTATATATTGATAGGGTTGATTACATATGCCAACACAGTGAATTAATTTTGTTTGATTTCATATACCAACATAGTAAAGGTTTGATATCATATGCCAACATAGATTGGTGAAAGCTACTCATCTTGTTCTAGAAAATTGTTTAAAAAAGTGATTAATTTGTTTGTGTATTGTTTTGGTTCAATTTGTGATTTTGAATTCCAATTTCTATTGTCCTTCGTTATTGTGTATTTGGAATCTAAAATTATATTAGCAGTAAATACGATACTTTTGAATGTATTCTATGTATTCTCAGAATATGTTCTGCCAGAATAAAATCTATGTATTCTCTCATATTCTATGTATTCTACCAGAATATATAAATTGATAGTTAATTGCAAGTAACATGTTTTTCACCATTATTAGCTTTTGTTGTATTTGTGATAGGAATGACTGGAAGAATGCGTTGAAGACCTAATAGGAATAACGAGAAGAATTTATAAAGTTTGATCATACTCATATTTTAATAATGTTGTTATTTTTTAAGAATTTTATACATTTTTGTTGATATTCTTTTAGAATATGTATAATTATATTAAAATGTATAAGACTTTTAGTCTGTAAGAATATGTACGAATTTGTATTTAAGTTCGGATGTATAAAAATATATTAGAATGTTGTTATTTTTCAACCTCGGATTCAAGAATTTTGTTATTCTTCAATAATATTCTAATATAATAAAATTTTGAAGGAGCATCATTCTAACAAAAAAATAATCTGACAGAATAAAATCGGTTATGTTTACGAATTACGTTAGAATTAAAATTGAATTAATTAAAAAAAATTCAAATTTTTAATATTAGGAGAATTAATTATCCCTAAAAATCCGAAAATTTCCTTTTATAATTGTAGTTAATTGTCCAAAATATCATTTTGCTAAAATTTGTGTGATTATATGGTACATGTTATCCCATTGAAATATCATACACCATCAAATCATGTTCATTGATTAATTCCATCCGTTGCTCCAGATATGTGCATTCTGACACACAATAGTTACTAAAAACAAAATAACATAAACATATATATATATATATATATATATATATATATATATATATATATATATATAATATATATATATATATATTTTATAAAATTGGATAATAGTAGAAAGCATTTATATTAATAGATAAAACAATAAGTTATATTAAAAAAATTAACGTCTTATGTCACGTCTTAAAATATTTTATAGTTCGCCACCATGTATCCTAAGTATTGAAGTTTGATATTGTCGTTTTGTTACGCCCCACGTTATTTAGAACTTTTACTAGAATACATTAATCTTTAAATACTTTAGTATATTAGTCCAATAAGGAAAAATAAAGTGGATGAAAATAAAAGTTTTAGTGAAAGTAATTATTTCGTTGACGACACATCTCATTCGATTCGAAACAGATAAGGTTTAAATACTTTAGTATATTTTTACAATAATGTTATTACCAGCAGAGATAATTGGCGTCAAATTCATTTATTTTTACACAATGAGTTGTTAGTACATTCGACCAAATTCATTGCTGTCCTATGAATCACGTTTCACTTTTCATATATATATATATATATATATATATATATATATATATATATATATATATATATATTAAAGTTTTAGAAAATAATATGTTTGATTTGAAAATCAATATAAATATAAGGACATTTAATGTGAAACGAAAGGTGACATTAATAAATTTGAATAAATATTTTTTATAAATAAAAGTTCAATTTAATATATTAAAAATGGTAACTGACATATATCATTTTAATCTAATCTTCGTGTATTTGGAATTAGATTCGTGTAGTTAGAATCACCCTTGAAAAATCAGATGAGATGCTATGACCCTTGCTAAATTGATGTTGATACTTGAAACTCGCAATCAATATTGTTCATATACTCGTAATGGGCTAAAATTTGGATCAAAAGAATTTGGATCAAAAGAATAGATCGAATAAAAATATTGGATCAACAATGAGGTTGAAACAAATTTGATCCAATAAGTCAAAACGATCAAAAATCAATAACGAAAGCATGAACTGAAAATATAATTGAATTCGAGTTTCAAGAAAACCTGATCGTTCCTCATCAGATCTTCAAAAACAAGGTATCACTCCCAACATGAATTTTTCGGAATCCATTTTGTGAACTGGAGAAATATACTTGATAATCCTTTTTCCATTTGGAATATTCAAATTGATCATTGAAGATCTCAGTTCATTGGTTGGAATTAGAAAATTACCCAATTGCACATTGTACCAACCATGATGCACATTGTACAATCCATTCCTTGGTTCAAGGAATAAATTCGATTTCTAGAACAAAAACTCTCTCAAACAAGAAGAACTTACAACAATTTGTGATTCACCAAATTATGTTGCCATCATGGATCAAATTCTTGAAGACTTCAAGAACACTTTAAGAACACCATCTTTAATACCAATTGTAGTGACCCGGTTATGATGACATGTGCAAAATAGTAAAGATCAGAGTGAATCTCAAGCAATATTGAAGAACACACAATGTAAATTATCTCGTTTAAGCTCCATTAGATCTAGCAAGCTATTACAAGTGGGTAAATAATAATTCTCTCAATAGACTAAACTCTCTGAATAGGTTCATTTCTTAGTTAATAGGAGTCACTCACCTCCTCTTTATAGGAAAGATTTAACCCATTACACATCGCAATAGGTTAAGCCACTTCTAACAATAACTTTGCACCCTAAGAATTTTTCATAATTGTTAAAATAAGTGGACACTAAATTGTATCATGGTTGCACTTTTTCTTCCCTTGAGTTTGTAGTGAAGTTAATGCATATCAAGGTTTACAACAAATAGATTGATAGTTAATTTGATCAACTCCTTGAGTTGTTGCAATCAACATTTCCCAAAGACAACGAGGTTCCTTTTTCACGTTATCTACCTAAAAACAAATAGAAGTCTATCGGTATGGGGTACGAGTCGATACATGTGTGCAAAAATGATTTTTCTCTTTTGTAAAGAAAACAAGTCATTGCAAATTTTTCCCATTTGTAAAGAGAACTGATGGATCGATAAAAATACTAAGTGTAAGAAAGTAGCTTATAAGGTGCTATAATACTTTCCTGTGACCCCTAGACTTTGACGTTTAGCACACTGCCAAAAATATAATTGACATGGTATACTAGTAGAAAAGTACCCTTTAATGAAATGCATTTTGTGTCATAAAAGGGTACAGATTACACACAAATGCGTGTCAAGGAAGGCCCTATCCGAAAGGAAGACGACACGCTTTTGTGTGTCGTAAACTTACGATGCACATTTATGATGTGCATTTACGACACACATTGTCTGTCAAGGAAGGCCCTGTCATAAAGGAAGACGACACAAGTTTGCGTGTCGTAACCTTACGACGTGTGTTTAGGACATGAATTGTGTATCATTAAATCCATGTCATAAGTGAAGATGACACGCTTTTGCGTGTCATAAACTTCACCAACCATTTACGATATGCATATACGACGTGCCTTTACGATACTCATTTACACATAATACAAAAATATAGAAACAAATATATATCAAAACAATCAATTTCATCCAATAACATCATGTCAAAAAAATGTAATACATTGATATTAAGGGAATTTGATTGTACATTGTTATTAAGAAGTTTTCCTTAACTATATAACCTAATACTACATTGCTATTAAGGGGCACCTTCTTGTTTCATATATCATGTCAAAAAAAATCCTCCATATCATTGGTTTGCCACCGGTTCCTTTTTTGAATAAACAGATGGAGTAACTCCTCCTTTTTCAGTAGCAAGAACACCAAGGTGCATGCTTTTGCTTGAAATCACTGAAGATGGCATCGAGTTATGTTGTTGACCAACACGTAATTCCCCATTTTCTCCCCTATAATTAAATTTAAATGATTACATAGTAAAACAAAGAAAGGGTATGTTAGTCTTTTAGATGTTTGAAAAATATTTAAACATTGCAAATTTGCAATTAATACCTAAGGAATACAAATTAATCGCCAGCCACCAATCTTTTAGCAGTAACAAAAGTACTCCATCCTGTTGTAAGGAACTGCCTTCGCGGTTGACCTGGTCAGCCAAAAAAAGATCTTACTTTTAAATTTTAATAAAAACACAAAATTACTTTATATGTTCTGTACTAGCATATAAAGTATAAACATGAAAAGATAATGAATGACCTCTGAATATATGCTTTAATCGCCACTCAATTCCATGAAGATATTTAGCTACAAGTTCTTGAGTAGGAGTCGGCTGAGACATGTCCTGAACAAAAATACTTCAAAAAAATTAGAACATTAAACTGTTCAACAATGTTTTGAAAACTGGACCGGACATCGAATCAGCCCTCTTACCGGTTCCATCGTTCAACTGGTTCTAAAAACCGGAAAAAGTGGATATATATATATATATATATATATATATATATATATATATATATATATATATAACCTTGAGAGCTAGCGATCAAATGCATAAAATTATCCATCTACAATCAACAAACAATTCACCCGAATGAAAACGATATGCTAATTCTTGATGCCTCAAGTCAACAAGTCAACCAATCACAACCCTAAACAAACAAAACCCCATGTCAAATAATATATGTTATGTTTGCTACAAACTCAAATAAGATCTAAGTCTAAAACTTCAATTTGAGTGACGGCAAATATTATCATAATTAAGATTAAAAAAAAAGCGAAAGGGAATCCAGACTTGCTTCTTGTAGTAGTCCAGAGCCTTCCAACAGGTCATCATACATCGTTGTTCATATCTGATTACAAGTACTAAATTAGCATCATACTTTTATAACTAAGATAACTTATGTCAACGTGATAGATTTCAAAAAACTGTTTTTTTGCAGGTTTAACCAGGCTAAACCCTACAAAAAACCGGTTTTTTACAGTTCTTAGAAAACCAGGGGTTTTTTACGGTTTAGTTTCTAGGGTTTAGGTCACTTAACTTTTGGTTTTGTGCTCATTTGGTCACTTAACTTTTTTTAAGTTTTAAAAGGTCATCAAACTTTAGGTTTTTGTGCTCATTTAGTTACTCAACTTTTGTTTTGGTCACATTTAGTCGCCTAACTTTTAAAATTGTGCTCATTTAATCACTAAACTTTTAAAAAAATTTAAAAGTTCAGTGACTGAATGAGCATAATTTTAAAAGTTACGTGACTAAATGAGCACAAATCTAAAAGTTAAGTGACCACACCAAAAGTTAAGTGACTAAATGAGCACAGAGTCTGAAGTTTGATGACCTTTTAAAACTTAAAAAGAGTTAAGTGGCCAAATGAGCACAAAACCAAAAGTTAAGTGACCAAAAATGACCTAAACCCTAGTTTCTAAGCAGCTTTTTGTGTGTAAAAAACCGGAAACCTATCCAGTTTCCGATTGAACCGGTCGAACTGGCCGGTCCGGTCCGGATTTTAAAACAGTGTTGTTGAAAACATATGAAACTAGAAGAAAAGAAAGAGAATGAAATTACCAATGTAGGTAGGCATTCATTTGTGTGTTTTCTGAGCACTGAAAAACCACCATGAGTGCTTGTCTCTGAAGCTGTTAAGACTTTGCAGAAAGAGTGGATACTTGCCTTTGGAGGGTCTTCAATACATTTATCAAGACTAGTAGGACCTCTTTGCTATTCATTATTAGAAAAGAAAACAGCTACAAAAGGTTAAAAATTGTAAAGAATTTAAGATGTGAACTCTTACATCTGCTTCTGGAAGTAGAGTGATTTGAGCATAAAATTCATCTGTATCTTGTTTAGCTTGTAATGGTACCAAAATCTAGATTCTAAAACTTCATAATCCAAATCACACACTTTAAGAGCAACATATTTACATACCAGAAGCTGAGTATAAACAACATTGATTTAAGATTGAAGTGAGGAATACTCTGATCGATTTGCTGATTGTTGGATTCCTCTAACTGACCAAAAACCGTATATAATCAAGATTTAAGAAAAAAATAGAAGTTGAAGGTCAAAAGAATGTTGAAAATATAAACGATATGAGAGATTTTGAAGGAAAATTAACAAGTTTATTATACTTACTTGCTCCATGTGACCTAGAGGAAAGTAGAAAACTCTTTCTCCATCTCTTGGAACATCTACTAGTGGACCCGCACATGCCTTCCATAGCTCCTGATACAGCTGATCTTCCATTGCTCATAATCAAATAAAACCACAAATCCACAAAGAATATAACACTTTCAGCATAATAGATTATAATAGAAAATGATATATCAATATAAAACAAAAATCATTGAAGTAAATACTTCTTCCAACACATTATTAGTGTCCAATTTTGATTTTGAAATCGAATTCTTATTGTTCCATAGATTTCAACCTTGAATATTGATATTCAAAATCAATTAATTGAGGATTTGAGTCGTGAGTCAAGAAGGCCGAGTGAATTCGTGCCAACATTATATATTATTAATCTTGAAAACCAAATAGAAGCTAGTCTTACGATGGCTTTTCTCTGGAAGCTGGTTGGATGGGAATATCAGGAGCTCCACTCCCATTAAAACTCCCAATAAGAGCTAAATCCCCCCCATCCAACAAAACCTGGTAGATCTTCTCATAGCTGTATCATAGTATACAGGAAGGTCATCATTAAACAGAAAAATGATGGAAAAAATGGAGAATAAAATTAAATGTTACCTCTCCACATCTTTAGCAAAGAAATAGTGTGCAATGTTGTCCTCCTTTACACCAGTATTTTCAAATTGCTATGGCCAAGCACTAATGCGAGACACCCCATTTAGATGATTTTTTTGGGGAAGGTTGTTCACCGTTCATAGACTTTAGGCGATGCACAGGTTGACAAATGAGCTTGTAACACATCCCAAAATTCAGCTGTTTTACCACTTCTATTAATCTAAAAACTTCCCCTGCAAATAGCATGAACAATGTTTATCAACTAAAGACAGATCATAAATGAAGAGTAAAAGTACTCAATACAAAAGAAACCATACTGCCAAATGTGTTCGTGATCAGGAATAGCTGGAACTTTCAAAAGTGAAGAAGACATTGACACAAGATCATAGCTAGATAGCTCTGTTGTTGAATTCTTTCCTTCAAAATGCTTTAAATTGTTACCATTTGACTGTTTAGAATGGTCAACACTAGAACCTCGTGAAAGTTGACCTGGACAATTCAGTCAACACCTCTACAGATGATTCATCAGATATATCAGAAACTCTATTCTTTCTAACTAATCCAGGCTTCTAAAGCAATGTTTCTTTAATTGCATCCTTTAACTTGTTTCTCTGTTTTTCACCTCTTTTGTATTCATAACACTCGATGCATTACAAACTTATACTTTATCAGCTGTGTGAGTTTGTGTAGAATTCACCTAGGTCGTATCGCTTAGCAAGCGTTTATGCCTGTTATACTGCTTCTCCTTTAACATCTTCGGCGCTCCATCAAGGGTTCTTTGCCAAGTCTAAATTCAAGTACAAAACACAAACAATCAAATCGACTAAACCCTAAATCAAAAACCAAAACCACAAACTTTTTTGAATCCAGATGAAATTTGGGACGTACCTTCTCGATTGTTTCGAAAACTGATCTGTTCCTAGACCTTAACTGAGCTCTCCCAACTTTTATGTGACTAATGAGCTTCCTCGTGCCGGATGATCTGTGACCGGATAAAATAGGTGGAAGAAGTGACTTTCTTTGAATGACTAATGTGCCGATAAACTCAGAGCTTTCACAGGTGATGAGTGTTAATGATTGCGCATATATCTTTTGTCGTTTCGATAAACGTGATGATTTTTTGGACGGACGATCAGGAGAAGCTAATTCGATGAATTTTTTGAGGATTTCGTTGGAGGAAGCTTTGGTTACATGTTGAATGGCGACCGTTGGTGTAGGCATGACAGTGGTTGCGTCCATTATTGTTACAGCCTAAAGCTTATGGGGTTCGATGCTGGTGGTGGCGTCTTAGGGCTTGCAAAGATAAGGGAGAGAGAGAGTGTGCAGAGGTAGAGGAAGACTGGCTGATTCAAAAGGATTATTAGGGTTCTACCGATCATACTTAAAGCTAGCATTTTTTCTTGAATCTCATGCATTTGAAACCCTCTTTTTTAACTTCCTTTCACCACATTCATTTGAAACTCTCATGACTTTTCAATTTCTTTACAATAATATTATAAATAAGTTAAATAATGTTCTATAAACAAGAAATGGTGTTTTATTACAGTGTCTTCATCCCACATCAATGGTGAGAGTAAACAAGAGAATGTTTCCTCTTCTATAAATAGGAAAGGTTGTGAAATGTTTCAAAATGACCAAACCATGAGAACTTCCTCATCCCTACCTTTGTAGGATTTTGAAGGTATTATTTTGTGAGATTGTCTATATTGGCAAGTGTCCAGTTAACTTTTAGAATTCCAAAAATGGTTTTGAACCAAATTTTTTCAGGTTTAAACCGTGTTTCAGTTAGAAAAAAATTATGTAGTTGGGTATATTGAGTTGAACCGGAGCTGGATCAATTTGGACCGATAAAGGAATCATTTTCCTTTCACAACAAACATTTGAAACTCCCATGATTTTTCAAATTATTTCTAATAATATTATAAATAAGTTACATAATTTTATATAAATATAAAAAAGCATCTACCTAAACCTAAAATTATAACCGTTTGAAAAATCACTTTGATTTAAAAGCACGAAATATATACAAACCGGGTTTCACTAGAAAAAAAAATATGTAGTTTGTTATATTTAGTTGAATTTGTCCGAGTTTGATCTATTTGGACCATAAAAGAAGCATCTTCCTTTCACTACATACATTTGAAACTCCCATGATTTTTCAAATTGTTTCCAATAATATTTTAAAAAAGTTACATAATGTTATATAAATATAAAAAAAACGTCTACCTAAATATAAAATTATAATTGTTTGAAAATTCAATTTGATCAAAAGCACGAAATATATACGCGGATTATATTTTATAAATGAATTCTTTTTATAATGAACTTTAAATTTTGAAAATACATATAAACAAACTTTCTATATTAAGTACCTAACTGAATTTATGATTTTAGAATTGAACAAAAAGTTATTCAATAAAAACTTACATTTTTGGATAGCAACTTACGAGATTATAGAAAAATGGAACTATTGAACAATAAAGAAAATGTAAACAAGAGAAAGGGTGTTTTACTAAATAAGTTGAATAATATTTTATAAACAAGAAAGCGTGTTTTATTACAATGTCTTCATCCCACATCGATGGTGAGAGTAAACAAGAGAACGTTCCTCTTCTATAAATAGAAAAAGTTGTGAAATGTTTCAAATGGACCAAACCATGAGAACTTCCTTATGCCTACCTTTTTAGGATGTTGAGGGTATTCTTTGGTGAGATTGTCTTTATTGGCAACTGTCCATTTAAGTTTTAGAATCCCGAAAATGGTGTTGAACAAGATTTTTTTAGGTTCAAACAGAGTTTCAGTTGAAAAACCGTTATGTAGTTTGGTATATTGAATTGAATCGGTCTGAGTTTGATCAATTTGGACCGATAAATGAAGCATTTTCCTTTCGGCACATACATTTGAAACTCCCATGATTTTTCAAATTGTTTCTAATAATATTATAAATAAGTTACCTAAACATAAAATTATAATTGTTTGAAAAATAAATTTGATTCAAAAACACAAAATATATACAAACCGGGTTTCAATAGAAAAAACGTTATGTAGTTTGGTATATTAAGCTGAATGGGTCCGAGTTTGATCAATTTGGACCGATAAATGAAGCATTTTCCTTTCACCACATACATTTGAAACTCTCATCATTATTCAAATTGTTTATAATAATATTATAAGTTACATAATGTTATATAAATATAAAAAAATCTACCTAAACATAAAATTATAATTGTTTGAAAAATCATTTTGATTCAAAAGCACGAAATATATACTCGATTATATTTTATAAATGAATTCATTTTATAATGACATTTTGAATCATGAAAATATATATAAACAAACTTTCCATATTTAGTACCTAACTGAATTTATGATTTTAGGATTTAACAAAAAGTTATTCAATAAAAACTTAATTTTTTATAGCAACTTACGAGATTACTGAAAAATGGAACTATTGAACAATAAATTTTCTGGATAACGTTTTATTTTTATTATTTAATATTTTATTTAACAAAATGAAATTATTGGCAAATAAAGAAATGAGTTTAATTAAAATGTCTTCATCCCACATTGATCGTGAGTAAACAAGAGAATGTATTCTCCTCTATAAATAGGAAAGGTTGTGAAATATTTCAAAGGGACTAAGCCATGAGATCTTCCTTACATCTAACTTTGTAGGACGTTGAGTGTATTCTTTGGTGAGATTGTCTTTGTCGACAAGTGACCAATTAAATTTCAGAATTTCGAAAATGATTTTGGACCGTATGTTTTAGATTTGGATCGAGTTTAATAAGGATCCGAGTGTCTTCTGGCTGAGTTACGCAAACTCACTTCCATTGGAGGCCGATTTTAAGTAACATGCCGAGTATTTGGTTGTGTTAGCCAAGTTTTACAACCCTGTATGTAATACAATTTAAAGTTTTAACCTTATAAAAGACGTCACGATTATCATATGTTCTACATAATTATGGTAATATTTATGATAGAAAACATTTTTTTTACTATTTAAGATAAAAAGTTGTCTCTATTATCATATGTTGTACAGAATGATAAAATTTAAGATAGATAAAAAGATGTCTCTATTATCGTATTTTCTACATAATGATAATATTTAATATAAACGTTTTAATTTAATATGAAATTATTATTTAACAGATAACAATAACGATTTATTTATTTTTAAAAATTAATTTTTTTTCTATTTTAATCATATAACTTTGTATATGCAAAACAACTTCAAGTTCCAACATTATCTCTTATAATATAGTTCAACATAATAACAATACTAAAAATCATTTTTTATATTTTTTATGAAATTATTATTTAATTGTTAATAACAATGATTTAGTTATTTTTAATATAAAATATTTTTTTATATCCCACGCAACGTGCGGGCATTCGCCTAGTTTTAGAAGGAAAAGAAGGAGATGCATATGGTGGGGTGTTTTATTTTTTGGGATTTCATTTCCCCCATAGGCTATTAAAAAAACGGAGAACGCGCCTTGCTAAAAAATATAAAATGACACATTTACACAACATGCTTTTTATGATAGGTGTCATCCATGTTTTTATTGTTTTTTGTTGGACACTAATTGTAGGGAGCGCAAAAATATGTGTCCTCTATCCTTCAAATTTTAGAAAATTGACATTATTTTTAGGACACGCAAAAAATGTGTATCTTAAATCCATGTGTGTCATTGTTTACGTGTCATTAAAGGGTTGTTTTTAGTAGCGTACGGGTCGATCAGAAGATGGTGTGATGCGTCATCCTCTTGATGGGGAACATTAGCAACATTTTGATAAAAAAATACCCCGACTTCTCGAGTGAACCCCGTAACGTACGCCTCGGTCTTTCAACTGATGGTTTTAATCCATTTGAAAACATGTGTAATCCACATAGCATATGGCCGGTCATACTTACGACATACAATCTGCCACCTTGGTTTTGTATGAAAGAGTCATCATTCATGTTGAATTTGTTGATTCCCGTCCCGAATGCACCTGGTAAGGATATTGATGTTTTCCTTAGGCCGTTGGTGGAGGTGCGTAAACATTTATGCAACTCAGACGTACGTATTAAAAATGTGGTGACAAACATATTCTTCTGATGACAGATATGTTGTTATGGACAATAAAAGACTCACAGGCTTGTAGTAGTCCATCAGGGTGGATCCAACAAGAGTATATATCATGTGCTATTTGCAATGAAGACACTCTTTCGTACCGTGCAACAAGCAAAGTCGTATATATTGGTCATCATTGTTTCCTAGATGCTGATGATTCGTTAAGAAATTGGGTGGACTTTAACGGTCCAGAAGAGACAAGACCCACTTTGAGACACTTTGTAATGACGATATACAATGGCAACTAGGTCGTCTACTAACTTGTAAATCGGGTAATCATCATGAGCATGGAGGTAGGGAGCCAAATTGGCAAGATATCGAGTTGAACCGATCAAAACAAAGAATATTCTTCAAATTCGAGTATTGGTCCTCTTTGTAGCTGAAATACAACATAGATTTCATGCATGTCGAGAAAAATGTGGACGAGAGTTTGTTAGGTACTCTTCTAATGATAAAATAAAAGACACATCAAATGCTTGTGAGGACTTGAGACTTCTAAATATTCGGAGAAATGAATGGTTGCAAAGAAAGGGTGACAAGTTTCATAGACCCCGTGCAAGATACTCTTTCACGAAATCTAGTCGACAACTCTTTTGTCAATTTATAAGAGATGTTAAACTGCTAGATGGGTTTTGGTCTAACGTCGGTAAGAAAGTGAACGATACCAATACTAACATTATTGGGTTGAAAGTGCATGAACATCAGATTCTTATTCAACGTTTGATACCATTTGGAGTTAGAGGGTTGTTAGAAAAAGACACTTATGCAACTATTGTAGATTTCCGCACGTTTTTTAAGCAACTTTGCTCCAATACACTGAATGTGGAGGATACGAGGAAAGCAAAAGTAGAAATTATTACAATCTTATGCAAGTTATAATTGATTTATCTTTTAGCATTTTTTTGACATTATGGTTCATTTAGTTTTGCATTTATGTGATGCAGCGATTGTTGGAGGCCCATTATATATGAGATGGATGTATCCCTTCGAAAGGTATATGAAAAAAACTAAAAAACTATGTAAGAAACAAGGCGAGGCCAAAAGTTTCTATAACTGAGGGTTATGTTGACGAAGAAGCTTTATCATTTTGTTCGATGTACCTTCGAGATGTACAGACTGAATTCAATCGCCCTGAAAGAAATGAAGATGCTATCTTTTAAAAAACAAACTTTTGAATGTTTGAGTCTAAAAGTCGATCGGCCATCACAACTCAAATCAAAACTC